CCCAACGTCATCATTACTTTCATTGTACTATTGTAGATGAATGAAATTTAGGAAGTTGCATTGTGTGCTTAGGGTATTCTTTTTAAAGTTTTTGTATGTTTTGAAAATAGCTATTAGTCCTTTCTCCCTTTAATTTTCTATTTTGCTTGCGTCCAGTTTTTTCCTTGTCACTGCTACTTTCTGATAAGTGGTATTTGCTTTTCCCCCTTTATTCTTATTTGTTCCCTCTTGGTCTTTCCATATATTGCTCTTTTTTCTCTGGCTTCCAAATCTGAAAAATTGAGCTTTTGTTTTTCTTTCATCAGTTGACAAAACAATATATTTGATCACCTGTTTAGTGTTACAGTTAACTTAATTCAGTGAACTCTTTTATCTTCCATGTCTTCCCTTAGAGTTTAATGAGACCATCTGATTTATGAATCTTCTCTATAAAATACCCAAGTGATTCTCTCACTTCTCCTTAAAATCTGTATAAAGAGTAAAACACACTTTCTGACTGGGTTGCCTATTCCAAGCTTAGACCATTCATACAATTTTTTGCATATTGAGAAGATACCTTGCCTCTTGCTGAACTTAACTAGTCTTGTCTTCTGGAGCCATTCATATAATAGTCTCAGTATTCATGATAGTTTCTAGTTTCCTCATTTTTGCTTGCTTTCCTTAGAAACTCTCCAGTTTGGAAATGCCTGTCTTGGTACATTATAAAAAAATAACAGCTGAAACCGGTTTGGCTCAGTGGATAGAGCGTCGGCCTGCGGACTGAAAGGTCCCAGGTTCTATTCTGGTCAAGGGCATGTACCTGGGTTGCGGGCACATCCCCAGTGGGAGATGTGCAGGAGGCGGCTGATCGATGTTTCTCTCTCATCGATGTTTCTAACTCTCTATCTCTCTCCCTTCCTCTCTGTAAAAAATCAATAAAATATATTTTTAAAAAAATAACAATATACTCTAGATCAGTTCTCATTAGCCCAGTGTGAAACATAATCATTTTCTTTAACTTTCTAATTTTATTAATATCTCGGAGTCACATTACCCTTTTTAGTAGGCACATCACCCTGTTAAAACAAAATGTAACAGTGGTAGCACAGGTCAGATTGCCTAGTTGGAGTTGTATCTTCACAAGTTAGCTGTGGTTTTAAACACATTACATTGTCTTTTATAAGATGGGGATCATTGTAGTTTGTACCTTATAGGTAAAGTTATGGAAGGATCAAATTAAATAATCCATATAAAATGCTTAATTGAGGTGTCAAAATGTCATGTTTATTATTGAAATAATGTTAGGATTCTTTTCTTCATTTGTCTATTGTATAACAAACCAATCAAAACTTAGTGACTTAAAACAATGATATATTCTTGTGATTCTTTGGCTTGCCTGGACTGTTGGCCAGTTCTTTACATTGTATTGGCTGAGGTCACTTACTGCTCTGCATTCAGCTAAGGCAAAATAGCTGAGTGGCTTCACTTAACATCTACTTGACTGGAGCTGACTTGGCCCTTCTCTCCAGAAGGGTCTTTAACTTTTTGCATGCTGGCCCAGGGCTCCAAGAGAGCAAAGGGGGGGAAGTTGCCGGTCCTCTCAAGGGTTAGGCCCAGAACTGGAACAGCAATCACTTCCACCACATTCTGTTGGTCTGAGCAAGTCAACAAAGTAAGCCTAGACTCTGGGGAAAGGAAATGAAATTTTACCTCTTGACAGGTGAATGAGTGGCACACGTGAACAGGTTGATGGGAATTGGTGGAGGCCATCTTTGGAGACAGTCAATCACAGTTTTGTTCTTTCATAATTAGTTTTCTGAACCAACGTGTTAGTAGTCCTTTAAATTTAATCTTTAGTCCAGTCTTTCTTGCTTTTTATTTTTTAAATCTTAATAGTTCTCTTAGCTTCATGTAATCAGAAGCTTTGATAGACAAAAGTATGCCATTTACTCTTTCTTGGCTCCTTTTATTTTTAACAGCTTTATTGAGATACATGGACATACAAAGAACTGCACATATTAAGACTTTTTAAAATTGATTTTGAGGTAGAGAGGAAGGGAAAGAGAGAGGGAGAGAAACATAAATTGTCTACCTCCTGCATGCCCTGCACTGGGGGATCAAGCCTGCAACCAGGCATGTGCCTTGATTGGGAATCGAACCCACAACCATTCGGTGCATGGGAAGTTGCCCAACCAGCTGAGCCACACTGGCCAGGACAGAACTGCACATATTTAATGTGTGCAATTTGATGTTTGCTTTCTTGATTTTTTTTTTTTCGATTACAGTTTACACTCAGTATTATTTTGTATTAGTTTCAAATGTATCATGTAGTGGTTAGACAAAGTGGAGTCCTGTTCTCCCCTGCCCCACTCACCCACCCCCCCACCCCCCCCATCCCGTCAACTTGGTGTAGTCAGCATTTCACTAGAAACTTTACCAGGATTGATACTTGGTCCTTTTGCTCCATCATTAGGCCAATAAGCAGCCTATTGTTATCTCATCTTCCTGTTACTTGTAGCTTCCAGTTAATAGCTTTAAAGTTATTTTGTTGTTACTGTTTTAATAAGATGTAATAACTAATTTAGTGTTCACCTTGGGGGGAAGAGGTGCTTACCTACTATTTTTAAAATTCTCTGTATGAGTTTATCTTTGTGTAAAGTAACATTTTTTAGGGATACAGAAGTTACTAAAAAGATGAATTACTAATTCTCATAACATTTATTGGCAATTTTTCTAAATAACTTATACAAATTTTCTGATGTTTATGTTAACATTCTACATGTTAAGTGATTCATCCTTAACTAACTGCATGCTTGTGGCCTGCATCTTTACATATGTTGAGTGGGTTAGATAAAGTAATTAAAAGTGAAGGACATGACTAGGCAATGTTATTCTTAGTTTCAGTTGTCTTTCCTGCTAGACCACTTATCCACAAACAGAGACTGTCTTGCCTGCTCACCCTAATATTCTTAGCGCCTAGCACAGTGTCATTTAAAATGTATTTGGAGAATAAGTGAATGTAAAATGTGAATTAGGAATGCCTAGGTAGAGAATTGATTTCAAGGCTGGGCTTAGTTATTACTACTACTTTTATTTGAAAAGTCTTAGTATCTTAATACCTTAGATATATGTAAATGAGCCAGAGAGCAGTTCACAATTGAATTGTATATGAAGCCTTCTTTAAATTTATCTTTTCTCCAATTTAATTTAAAGTTGTTTTTGAATTCTAGTGAATCACATTACACTATTTCTTTAGTTATACGTACTTAATAGTCTAACCTTTAGCTTAGCCAATCAGAAATAGAATTTACCCTTAAACATGTGGAGTTGTTAGAATTTAATCTAGACTGACTTCAAAGCCGTATACCATGTCTCATAGTTGAAGAAAAATGCGTTACCTGAAAAGGCCTGGTCATTTGTTTCTTAAGTGAAAAAAAATCCACTGTCTTGTGTTGTATGAGGAACATTTCCAAAGAGCATGTTGTTCAAAGGGTTAAACACTTATTGCAGCTTAGAGATCTTTGAATGTGAAGGTCTGGGTGTGGAGTAGTAACAATTTTGTTATCCTAATCAAAGTGCTCTTCTGATTTCAGGCCAGTGGTTTTATTTTTTTAAAAATTATTATTATTATTTCAGTCCTCACCCAAAGGGTATGTTTTCACTGTTTTGAGAGAGAGGATGGGGGGAGAGTGAGAGAGAGAGAGAGATGAAACATTGATGTGAGAGAAAAACATCAATCGGTTGCCTCCCATAAGCACCCCGACCAAGGATCAAACCTGCCACCTTTTGGTGTACAGGACTAAGCTCCAACCAACTAAGCCACACGGGCCAGGGCCAGGCCAGTGGTTTTAAATGTTGGTTAATAATCACAGAGGACATTTTAAGTTGACTTAGGTCACCTTCATTCCTTTTTTTTATAATACAGTGCAGCTTAGTCCTACTGCCAACTGGGCCGCTACCCACTTCATCCATGTATCTTATTAGCTAAAAATTACTTAATGAAATTAAAGGTTTACTCTTCAGAACTGTAATTTTCATAATTCTACTGCTCTCTTAATTTAGTTAGGAAAACTAAAACTTTTACTTTGAACATCTTTACCTGTCGTGTGAAGTATTACTTGAGTGTATTCTTTTTTTTTTTTTTTTTAATATATTTTATTGATTTTTTACAGAGAGGAAGGGAGAGAGATCGAGAGTTAGAAACATCGATGAGAGAGAAACATCGATCAGCTGCCTCCTGCACATCTCCTACTGGGGATATGCCCGCAACCCAGGTACATGCCCCTGACCGGAATCGAACCCGGGACCTTTCAGTCCGCAGGCCGACGCTCTATCCACTGAGCCAAACCGGTTTCGGCTTGAGTGTATTCTTATAAATGAAGTTAATTTTGTTCTGTTTCCTCTGTCATGGACTCTGGTAATTTCTATTACATTATTAGTTTCTGCTTAAGTCATAATTCCTCCAGAGTCTCAAAAGATTAATCTCTTGTGTTTTTTCCATTCTATCATGACTACCTTGAAAATGGAAATTTTGCCAGCTTGTTAGAAAATGTGGACTATCATTGAAACATACAGTCTATATTGGCATATAAATAGCACTATGGGAGAGGGGGAAGGGTGGTATTCAAATGTATAAACCTTAAATAATAAACTGTACACTAACTTCAAATTTCAAGTGTTGCTGTCTAAAGCATTCTGTTTTTGCTGTAACTGGTTTGGCTCAGTGGATAGAGCGTCGGCCTGCGGACTGAAAGGTCCCAGGTTCGATTCCGGTCAAGGGCATGTACCTGGGTTGCGGGCACATACCCAGTAGGGGGTGTGCAGGAGGCAGCTGAAAAAAAAATTAAGCATTCTGTTTTTAAAGCCACAAATTCATGAGCCTACTGCATTCAACAATTGTATTATTGGCGATGACTGTATTAAAGTTTAATAACTTAGGCTATAGTGTGCTCTTAATAAATGCAGGTTCCTTCAGTTTTGTAAATGTTTTATTCTTATTATGACTTTCTTTTCTTCCCAAGTCTCTCTTGGAAAAGTTCTTGATCCCCAATGCTTCACAAGCAGAGAGCAAAGTCTTCTATTTGAAAATGAAAGGCGACTACTACCGTTACTTGGCTGAGGTTGCTGCTGGGGATGACAAGAAAGGTATGCTGTATTTTCTAATCTGTATAAAAAAAAAATTGTGGAAGTGGTCTTTTTCTAAAGTGCAAGCAGTTTTTTGTTGTTTTTGGTTTTTTTTAATTGCTTAGAGCACTAAATGAAGGACAGTAATGCACTTTTTTTCTCTTTTTTTTTAGTCCTGAGACTATATACTGCCTAATACTGGTATTCTAAAATTGCAGCTGGCTGAAAAGCCAATTTTGTGCATAGGAATACTTCCTCAGTTTTAAGAAATAGCGATCACAGCATTACTGTAGAGCATTGTAAACTAATAAAATATAATACTGAGATGATTAGAGTCGTTTTTGTCTTGACATTGACTAATAGCTAGTGTGAAGCTTATTTTTTAAATTAAAGAACCTCATTCAATTAAGGTTGCTACAACTTGATATTTCATAGGATATTTCGTTGGATATTGAGGGATGAAGATGAAGTGCAAGTTTTATCAATATTTTCTGTGTTTTATTACCCAGGGATTGTGGACCAGTCACAACAAGCATACCAAGAAGCTTTTGAAATCAGCAAAAAGGAAATGCAACCAACACATCCTATCAGATTGGGTCTGGCCCTTAACTTCTCTGTGTTCTATTATGAGATTCTGAACTCCCCGGAGAAAGCCTGCTCTCTTGCAAAGACGGTATGTATTTTACCTGTTATGTGGAAATACAGTGATCTTTATTATTTGAGCACTGAAATGTACTTTTTTAAATCGTAGGCTTTTGATGAAGCCATTGCTGAACTTGATACATTAAGTGAAGAGTCATACAAAGACAGCACACTAATAATGCAGTTACTGAGAGACAACTTGACAGTAAGTACATAGTTAATGTGGTTGATGAGGTTGTTTTACAGATTACTATAAGGGATATTTCTGTCCTTTTTTTTAAATATTTATGACAAGATCCTATCTGCTGTTAAAACTGAAGAGAATCACTGTTAAAACTGAAGAAAAAAACACTGTGAAAACTGAAATATTAAACCAAAGACTTAAAAATGTTCAGTTTTGCCCTGACCGGTGTTTCTCAGTGGTTAAAGCATCAGCCTGCAGACTGAAGGGTTGTGAGTTCAATTCCTGGCCTAGGGCATGTACCTGTGTTGCAGGTTCATTCCCTGGCCCCAGTCGGGGTGCGTACAGGGGGCAACCAATCAATGTGTCTCTCACATCGATGTCTTGCTCCTCCCATCCCCGCTTTCCACTCTATCTAAAAAATAATAGTCATCAATGGAAAAATGTTGTCAGCTGAGGATCAACAACAACAAAAAGTTGGATTTCATTAGTTACATATATATCTATTGTTAAAATAATTTTGTAACCCATGATTTTTGCATTTCAAACACATAGGCCATTTTATTTTCCATTCTAACCTGGATGGGGCCATTTTTTTCTTTTCATTTTAGTCACAGAAGCGTTTAGGTGTTAGTACTGAAGACTTCTTTGTGTTTAAATTCCATTAAAAATAGTTTTCTTGGCTATAAAGTTACCTCCATATTTATTCAGCTATGGCAGGACATTAATAACTTCACTTACAAAATTTCAGATACTCCGCAGAATCCAAATAGAAATCTATTTTTGCCTAGTCTCTTGGTTTAAAAGGTCATGGTTATCCTTGGAATATGCCAGACCAAAAAAAAAAAAAAGCCCACATGCCATTATCACTGAAAAAAATTGACAATTTTTTAATTATGTTAAATATCTCAATAGTGGTTGAGTGTCAAATTCTAATTGTCTCTATTTGTCTTTAAATTGTTGGGTTTTTTAAAACAGTTTTTTATCTGAATTGGGTCCAAATAAAGTCTACATATTGCAATTTTTTTATATGTCTCTTTGGTCCCATAGGTTTTCCCATTCTCCTTCAGATAAATATTAAATTTGAAGTTAGGTGAAAAATTATCAAGTATCTGCTGGTGTTCTAGGAAGGAAGATTATAGATTAATGCTACTGGGTTTTGTGTGCTTTAGGGCCTTTTCTCTTGGGGACTAAATCATTTTATACATTTCATTTCTTCCAATTTTATTCTAGTCCACTGCTAATTTCCTGAACCAGTTCTGCATTCCAGTGTTGAATTTCTTCAGAGAGTTTTTTTAAAAGTCTTGTGTACTTGTTTATTATTACTAAACACTTAAAATTATTAATTTTTTAAATATATTTTTATTGATTTCAGAGAGGAAGGGAGAGGGAGAGAGGGATAGAAACATCAATGAAGAGAGAGAATCATTGATCAGCTGCCTCCTGCACGCCCCTAACTGGGGATCGAGCCTCCAACCTGGGCATGTGCCCTTGACTGGAATTGAACCTGGGACCCTTCAGTCCACAGGCTGACACACTATCCACTGAGCCAGATCAGCCAGGTACTTAACATTATTTTAGAAAGTGTAATTAAGGGGCTACTTACAAACTTGTGAGATTTTTATTTTGATCAAGAGATTAAGCCATGGTTTCTTACAGAATAAATCTTTTTATATTAAACCAGAGGCCCGGTGCACGAATTTGTGTACCAGTGGGGTCCCTCGGCCTGGCCTGCGGGATCGGGCTGAAACCAGCTCTCCAACATCCCCCGAGGGGTCCTGAATTGTGAGAGGGTATAGGCCAGGCCGAGGGATGCAGGAGGTTGGCCAGCTGGGGAAAGACCGCAATGGGGCTCCAGGGCATGGCTGTCCCATCTTGCTCAGTCCCTATCAGCCAGACCCCAGCAGCAAGCTAACCTACTAGTTGGTGTATCTGCCCCCTGGTGGTCAGTGCACTTCATAGCAACTGGTCAACCAGTTGACTGACTACTCCCTGGTGGTCAGTGCACGTAATAGCAAGCAGTTGAGCGGCCTTAGCATATCATTAGCATATTATGCTTTGATTGGTTGAACGGCTCACTGGGCAACCAGGCACTTAGCATATTAGGCTTCTATTATATAGGATAAAAGACGTGGAATTTGCTAGCTAATTTTAATATAATTTTTTATATTTTTTCTGTTTGAAATGATGAGAACTTGTCATTCTGAAAGGTAGACCCTGAGACCTAGTTACTATGTTGTATTGTTTGCCTCTCCCAATTGGTTGCCTCTCCCACACTCCCGGGCCGGGAATTGAACTCACAACTTGGATATGTACCCTGACCAAGAATTTAGCTATCACCCTTTGGTGCATGGAATGATGCTCCAACCAGCTAAGCTGCCCAGCTAGTGTGGCTCCGTGTTTGAGTGTCAACCTGTGAACCAGGGTTTGATTTCTGGTTGTGGGCTCGATCCTCAGTTTAGGGCATGCAAGAGGCAGCTGGTCAGTGATTCTTCCTCATCATGGATGTTTCTACCTCTCCCTCTTCCTTCCTCTCTGAAATCAATAAAAATATATTTTAAAAATAAAAAACATTGAGATTTTTTCCACTTAATTTTTCAGTGTATAAGCAATATAAAATTTAAAATTGTCTTGAATCAATTTTTTATAATGACCTCTAAAATTATAGCATAGTAATAAGACTAAAAAAATTACTAATATTTCAAGCACCTGAAGTAATTTTTTAACCTGCTGAAAAACTAACACTGATGAAAAAATTAATAGAATCCATAATTCTACCACTATGGGACAATTCAATTTTTACCTCTTAAAAGATTTGGTTCTGACCATGCTGGTTTGTGTTCAGCTAAATTTGTATTTTTACTTAGTATCCTGGCTCTTGAATTTCATGGGTTGTGGGATTCTCTTTGGAGTGGAAGTATAAGTTTTAAAAGGAGAAAGTGCCTTGTGCATAGGCCAAATTAGTTGATTTAGTTGCACTAAATGTGTACATCCATCTGCCATTGGAGCTATTCAGGACAATCTAATCTGATAATTATTGATACTTAGCATTTCTATGATTTCTTCTACTTTTCTCTTTACTTTCTGTGACTAACCATGAATTTCCTACATTTGACTTTATTTGAAGACATCTGTTAATATTTTTTTCAAACTGAAACATGCTAAAAATCTTTCCTTCTTTTACCAGTTGTGGACATCGGATACCCAAGGAGATGAAGCTGAAGCAGGAGAAGGAGGAGAAAATTAACCGGCCTTCAAACTTTTGTCTGCCTCATTCTAAAATTTACACAGTAGACCATTTGTCATCCATGCTGTCCCACAAATAGTTTTTTGTTTACGATTTATGACAGGTTTATGTTACTTCTATTTGAATTTCTATATTTCCCATGTGGTTTTTATGTTTAATATTAGGGGAGTAGAGCCAGTTAACGTTTAGGGAGTTACGTTTTCATCTTGAGGTGGCCAATATGGGGATGTGGAATTTTTATACGAGTTATAAATGTTTGGTATAGTACTTTTGGTACATTGTGGCTTCACAGGGCCAGTGTTAAAATTGCTTCCATGTCTAAGCAAAGAAAACTGCCTACATATTGGTTTGTCCTGGTGGGGAATAAAAGGGATAATTGGTTCCAGCCACAGGTGTAGTTGTTGTGGGTACTTTACGTTTTGGAGCACTTAGAGTGCTGTGTTGGAAGTGGACAGCCCACGGGCGGTCCATGCTGAACCGTGTGTGTATCTGTGGAATATCAGCCTCAGTGCGCACACCTTCGACGACAGCTGCGGAGTGTTCCTTTAGTTGTGACCCATTTAACTCTGGATAAGGGCAGAAACGGTTCACATTCCATTATTTGTAAAGTTACCTGCTGTTTGCTTTCATTATTTTTGCTACACTCATTTTATTTGTATTTAAATGTTTTAGGCAACCTAAGAACAAATGTACAAGTAAAGATGCAGTAAAATGAATTGCTTGGTATCCATTACTTATGTATACCAAGCATAGCAGTAAAACAAAAAACCCATGTATTTAACTTTTTTTAGGTTTTTTTTTTTTTTTTTTTTTGCTTTTGTGATTTTTTTTTTTTTTTTTTTTTTGATACTTGCCTAACATGCATGTGCTGTAAAAATAGTTAACAGGGAAATAACTTGAGATGATGGCTAGCTTTGTTTAATGTCTTATGAAATTTTCATGAACAATCTAAGCATAATTGTTAAGAACACGTGTATTAAGTTCATGTAAGTGGAATAAAAGTTTTATGAATGGACTTTTCAACTACTTCTCTACAGCTTTTCATGTAAATTAGTCTTTTGGTTCTGAAATTTCTCTAAAGGAAATTGTACATTTTTGGAAATTTATTCCTTATTCCCTCTTGGCAGCTAATGGGCTTTTACCAAGTTTAAATACAAAGTTTATCATAACAAAATACTACTAACAGAACTACTGTTCCCAACCACGTCCCATACTCCTCATCCTCCCAGCCCCCCAGACTCCCTGAAAAAAAGGTGTTGGGTTTGTTTGTTTTCAGAGGTGTGGGGATTGATTGGAAAAAATAATATGTTCCATTTAAAATTGTAGTATGGCATTTTCTAACTTGGAAGCCACAATGTTCTTGGCCCATCATGACATTGGGTAGCATTAACTAAGTTTTGTGCTTCCAAATTGCTTTTGTTTTTAAGAATTTCTTGATACTCTTATAACCTGCCTTCAACTTTGATCCTTTATTCTTTCTATTTGTCAGGTGCACACAGGATTATCTTGTTCAGCCTTCTGTCTGTCACCAACCATTATTACTTGGTGGCCATGTACTTGGAAAAAAGGCCGCATGATCTTTCTGGCTCCACTCAATGTCTAAGGATACCCTGCTTCCTTTGCTTGCATCCCATAAACTATTTCCCTCATCCTATTTACTGCAGCAAATGTCTCCTTGTTTTATCTCCCCGTGAAACTCCACCTATCTGGAATGGTCTGTCATTGGCTGCCTTTCAAATCTTTTTTCCTCTCTTCTTTAAATAATGGGGCTAAGTTATACCCAAAGCTCGCCCTACAGACTATTTCCTAAGTACCTTGCAAAAACACCAAATAAAAATACCATTTTAAAAGGTGTATTTTTTCTTTTAGAATGTAAGCTCCTCAAGAGCAGGGACAATGTCTTCTTGTATGTTCTATTGTGCCCAGTACACTGTAAATGCTCAATAAATACTGATGATGGGAGGCAGCGAGTCTTGATGATAAGGGGGAGAAACCGAAATCCCAATACTGTTTTGTTGCTTGTTTCATTATGACCTCAGATTAATTGGGAACTATCAGCCCTTTGGACAGTTGTCCCAAATATTACATTCAAATAAAAGTGCAATGGAGCCCTTGGGGTCTTTCTTTCCAATGAGAAAAGATCTCATGAATTTGGAACAACAATGCATTTTCACTCAGAGCTGCTTTTTTTTTTTTTTTTTTTTTTTTAATTTCTCCTGACTCCCAGGCCAAGGACATGAAATAATCCATAGCTTAGAATTTAGCTAGACTGAGGAGATGGATCTCATTGAAGTATAAGTAAAATCTAAAGCTTGTCATATTTGCCTATTTATGTGTCCGTCATCTACTAAGCTAGTTTGATTCTGAAGTAAATTGTGGTAGTACTTTCCAACCTGGGATTTTTTTGCCGTGGATTTGAAAAATAAAATGTTTGTAATTTATTTGTTTAATTGTTCCAAATCCAGGCTTCATGTCTGTTTTTGTCAATATGTAGTTCCAGGAATTTGGAGAATTCAGCGTATTTTGTGTGTGTTTTTGGAATTGCTGAGGAACACATGTCTATCCACTTAGAGTTGTGCTCTGAGAGTAGAGCAGCAGTGTGATCGGAAGTGTGGACTTCTCTGCAGTTTGGGCGTATGGTCCTGGCTTTTTAAAATAGCTGTTACTTTGTGCTACATGTGCTACAAGGATCATGGAAATGTATGTCAAGTGGCTTAACTAGAGGGGCACAATATCTTCCCCTTCCTGTCTTTCCTGAAAAATATGCTGCCATGGCCCAAAGCATATTTTAAAATTAGTTGAGGCCAATTGGGGCCTGCAATCGTAGATTATTTGTAGCCATACCTCAACTTGAGAATATAACCTTGATTAAATAACTTGGAATTCTATGGTGAGATGTTTAAAAATCAGTCATAGACTTTGAATGCAGATACAAGGATTTTGATGTTTAAAAAACTTGCACAGACTGAATGCAGATACAAGGAGTTTGGAGACTTTCCAGCAGTGGCAGTATCATTTAAATGGTTTATATCATCTTGAGAGGAGAATAGTACTTTATTTGGATGCAAATATATCATAGTAGAGTCACTGCATGAGAGCCTGCAATATTAGAGTTTTCAGAGATAGTTTTACATGTCCCCTGTCAGGGAAAGGTGACATACATCTTACATAGCTTTTATTATATTTTGTCATACCACATAGGAAATTACTATAGTGGAAGAGAAATATCTAAAGTTGGTGGCTGAGTCTGGGGATTTGTAAAATAGCTAGATTTGGATCTTTTCTAAATGTGAGATTACATCAGTGAATTACTTTTGTTATCTTGAGTGTGTCTTACAGCAGTGACAATCTTGGCTAACTCTGGCTCTCCTTTTAAAAGACTAGTGACCTAAATGTATTTCTGGGTCCGGGTGAGGATATAAAGAAATTTCACAACAGTCCTCTAAGAAGGATGGTACTCTTGGAGACAAAATGGTGTTCAATAACTCATCACAGTAGATGTGCTTTAAAAACTCAAAAACTGACCTTAAAATAGTGCTTGTGTACATCCAAATTTGCTAATGCTGCTCACTTGGGTCCTTTGAAGACATTATGTATGACCGTCAACCCCACGTATTTCAGAACCTGAAAGTTACTGCAATAGCAAAACTCTTGAGAGGCCAACTATTTGGAAGACATCTGCCTCTGCCCGGTCCTACTTTCATAACCAGTTTAAGAATGTTCCGCCATCATGTTGGACAAGCAAGTGTGTGTCTTGGAGCAGAAACCAAGAGACCTAACGTGTTTAGGCAGAGCTAATACCCTAGGTCAGCGGTTCTCAACCTGTGGGTCGCGACCCCTTTGGCCGTCGAACGACCCTTTCACAGGGTTCGCCTAAGACCATCCTGCATAGCAGATATTTATGATTCATGACAGCAAAATTACAGTTATGAAGTAGCAACAAGAGTAATTTTATGGTTGGGGGTCACAACAAACTGTTTTAAAGGGCCAGAAGGTTGAGAACCCCTGCCCTAGGTGATGGCAGACTCACAGTTGATTACTTGAGTCCATGCCATGAAATTTCTGAAAGCCCGCACTTGTCTAATGTTAAAGACTTGTTAGTATGAAATCAATTTACAATTCCCAAACTTCAAAACCTACCAATATTTTCACTAGGTGCTTACATTTTGTGTTATTGGGTGTTGGTTTGGGCCAGCACTGTTATATCTAAGACTTTCAGAAGATTTGTGTTTGAGTCAAGATTTGGCGAATGAATGGGATCCAGATGGAGGTTACAGCATGTGCAAAGGCATCAAGAGAACTTAAAAGAACTTCCCTGAACATGAAAGGGGGGCTCAGTGTAGAAAAGATAAATAGGTTATGTTCTGCTATCTAAAGCTGTGGTTTTCACTTTTAATGCTTTTGATCATCTGAGGGGAACTTGTTTTAAATGCCTGTTCCCAGCACCAGGTCTCAAAGATTACAATTTCTTAGATTGGAACCCAGGAGTAAGCATTTTTGGGAAATCCCCTGGGCTGTATGATTCGGTGTCTGCACTGCTGAAGTCCAGGGGTAGGGCGAGCATATACAATGCATGGGAAAACGGGTGTGTATGACTATTTCAAGCCAAAAGCTATTTCTAAAACTACATTTTGCGAAACAAAATTTGTGGATCTGCTCAGCAAATCTTACTTCCCAAGTAAAGAAGGTTAAAGGTTACCTATTACAACCGGTTTTTCACATTAATGACTCTGGTTTAGTTTGAGAGGAGATACCATAGAGAACTTTTGCTGTGTCAAGAGGAGAAAAGTAACACAATGGATTTTTTAAAAAAACAAATGCCATCTATACTGCTTAACTCATGCCATGCACAAAACTCAAATCCAGAAGAATGGACTTAAACTCCAGAAAGTTCATAAGATGTGGATGAATAATTTCCTGGCTTTGAAGTTGGTAAGGAAAGATCTCAAAGTGGACACAGAAAGCATAGCTTAAAAAAAAAAAAGTATAAATTAAGAATCTTAATGTAGGAATTTTAATATAAATTCAACTACATAAAGTAAATACAGTGAGCCTTGACTTACAAGTTTAATTCGTTCAGAGACCGAGCTTGTTAAGGAGCTCGTTAATTCAAATTCCTCTAACAACTCTGCAAAAAATCTGCCGAGAGACAGCTGATACCTCAAGAAACTCGTTAGTAGGGACACTCGTAAGTCAAGGCCCCACTGTATCGAAGTGAAAAGATAAGCAACTGAAACAAGATAACATACATACAACAAAGTATTACAAGAAAAGGAGAGAGAAGGCAAATATTTTGAACATTCAATTTCATAGAGGAGTTATGTGACCAATAAATATACAAAGATGCTTAAGGAAATGCAAAAACCAAGACCACAATTTGATAACACAACTTTACCCTATTGATTAGCATAACTTGGAAATTGTCACACCAAATGTTGGCTATGATGTGGGCTGAGATCTCTTGCACATTGCTGATGGGAGTGTAATACACCCCTTTGGGAAATAATTTGGCATTTTCTTGTAAAGTTGAACATTTATATCTACAACTGGTCAATTCTTTCCTGGGTGTATCTCCTAGAACACTTGAATGAAATGAGTATTCACAGCTGCACTGTTCGAATTGTTTTTAGCAAAAAACAAGACAACCCAAATGTCCATTGAAAGAAAATGGACATTTATCTAATGACAGTATTAATGAAAATGAATCAACTACAGC